GACTTCCCGAACACCGCTGAAAAACATTCAAACACCTTCTTCCTTTTGTCGAACGGCTAGGAGAGCGCCGTTCGGTAGTTCAGTTTCCATGAACAAGGGGAACAATCAGGAGGCTCCGTTCATGCTTTAATTCATTTTTATGCCTTTTTCGATAGTGGTCGCTGAACTAAGACTGCCATACTTTTCGAAAACCCCTGAATTGATCTTGGTGAAATTTGAATATGTTGGTCTCCCAGATCAGGCCTATCAGGGGATATGTCATTTGTGGGGATACCATGTATTTAAAGTTTTGGGGAAAATGTGTTCCTTTTGCCCGGAGATAATTGGGTTATCTTTTAGCTTACCTAATTATCTCACAGGCAGAAAGAGGGAATGTGTAACTGTAATTAAGCAATGTGATTGGTTGTCCCTTTTGTGTACTGTGGGAGGTCCTCTTGCATGGGGACTTCCATAAAAGCCAGTGTGGCATCAATAAAACATTATTCCTGTTGTACCCTTCATGAAGTCTAGGCTCATGTTTGGGTAACCTTTTCTTTGCTGGAGAGATTAGTCTTGGAAGCTGTATTCATCTGACTATTCCTCTACACACCTTAGCTGCAGTTATAATCACTGATACTCAGCAATTGGGGAACGAATAGGTGAACAAAGTACCATAACTACTGATGTTCATAACAATGTGCACAAGCAAAATTTTGGTATTGTAAGAATGATTTTATAGTAAATAAAAATTTCATTCATCAATCCTGACTTTCATTCATAAACCATTCGTTTTCTAACTAAATTAATTTTAAAAAAATCATTTGTTTTCGTCCTTTAAGACGAAAATAACACTGTGCATGCGCCCAAACAAAGAGCAAGGAGGGTTTGGCTCTGATTGGTTGATTCCAAGCCAACCAATCAGAGTGCTCTAAGTCAAATTGCAGGGCGTGGGAAGGCTTTACAAGTTTATTTTAACGGGTATTATGGATTTTTATTTGGCTTTTTTTGGGGTTGAAAGGAAAAGAAGAAAGACGACATCCAATGGTAAGTATGACATTTTATTTTACAGGGTTAGTTTATTTCCCCCTTCACTATTATTGGAGTGAGGGGGTAGGCAGGGTATTTTTATAGTTCCATAGTAGTAGTATCGGTGTTCGATAGTTTAAACTACCGAACCAATAAAACTCAAAATAAACGAATGGCCTAAGAAAATCCCGAATACAATGCTATTTTCTTCACATTACTCACCCTTAGTTCCATAGGTCGGCATATCCGCCTAGACCCTGTCGGGTTGGCATGGGGATGTCCGGGTAAAGTATTTATAAATCTAATTCCGTTTGGCCATCTGCATTACTGTTTTGCTTGCCTGGGCGGTATTGTAGCGTAAAATTGGCTTGGAGACCCCTAGTCACTTTATTATTTATTAGGTCCCCCCAACTATTCATTTAGGGTCCCCACCCGCCGCTCATGGGGGGGACATAGGTGGGACATTGGTACCCCCCTTATTTATTTAATTAAAGTTCCTCCCCGCTGCTCATGGGTGGGGACCTGGGGGGGACATTATTTCCCCCTTTTATATTAACAGCCCTCACCCAGGGATCATGCAGGGGGGAGGTAGTAATTAATATTATTACAAGGAGGGAGCTGGTAGGACGGAGTATATTAAACGAACAAAATGAATTTATTTCGTTTTTATTTCGTATGTAGGGCTTTCGTTTATGTTTTGGTAAACAAATACGAAAAAAAATGAATTTTCGGACTAAATCGTATTCGTACGAAAACTAATACACATGTCTAGCTGCCTTATATTTCCTACTTATAATTTAGTAGTTGCAACTATTTATACAGTTCATATTGATATTTATTAACTAATTGGAATTATGTGATTCTTCTTGCCTTTGCCTAGTAATATCTATTTGTGTTATTGGTTTTTACCTCTACTGTAACTGATCACTACTGATTCAAAAATTAATTCACAGTGTGAGGTATAGTTGAGTCTGATTTTTGCAATATTTAGTCATTGTTGCAGTGTTTTAATAACAGGCTCTCTTATTTCTCTACTAGGCTCTACCCTTTTTCTTACAGACAGATATTTTTTTGTTTCCTGTATCTAAAGGTAAGTAGTTCACTAGGCAAGATGAAGCAGTGTGAATTGTCTTTTATAAAAACATCCAGAAAATAGTTGGATTTTGTTTAATTCTCTCTGTTTTATGATTGTTCTCATCCAACAGTATCTGCTTGGATCTGATCTCTGGAAGTTATGCCATTATTAAGGTTCTGATTGGATACTGCCATCCATTTGGTTTTTAATTTATATTAAAGGACATTATCTTCTGTTTTTAACATATGTCTATAATTTCTAGACCGTGTCTTGGTTTTATTGAGGTTCTCAAATGTTTTGTTATTATCCATAAAAAGAAAAGTTTGTCTTGTATTAATCTAGCCTTGTTCCTTCTATAGGTTTGGTTATCATGACCTTAAAGCGGCACTGTCATCCGTTAAAGGATGCTCCTAGCGTTTCCAGAGGACTCCAAGCACTCTGGCAGACACCACAATCACCGATATGGGGGGGGGAAATCTTTATTTTGTGCCTGGACCTATGTTCTGGGTGCCGCCATCTTTGTGTGGGTAGAGGAAGTCCCTGTGGGACACGTCATCTGCCCACACTAGTCAATCTCTGATTGTAGAGATCTTGTCAGTGAAGTGAGTTGCAAAGTCTGAGGCGGTCAAGTTAGTAGGTGGAGGAGGAACAGCAGGGCGAAGAAGATAATTAAATGTGTGAAATAGTCGTTTGGGTTTGCGGGAGAGTGTGGTTATGAGGGTATTGAAGTAATTAACTTTTGCAGAGGAAAGAGCCAAGCTATATGAGCTCAGCATAAATTTATAGTGGAGAAAGTCAGATGCACAGTGAGACTTTCTCCAACAGCGTTCAGCAGTTCTGGAGCATTTTCGGAGGTATCGAGTGAGCTTGGTGTGCCAGGGTTGTTGTTGGGGGGGCCTGCGGCATTTAAATGTACAAGGTGCCATGATGTCTAGTTGAGAGGAGAGGGTGGAATTGTAAAAGGAGGTTGAAGAACTAGGACAGGTGAGGATTGAGAAATGCTCTAGGTCAAGACATTGGAGGTTTCTGTGAGAGTGATGTTCAGACGATGGTGTCAATTGGGTCTTAGGTATGCCAATGTCAAAAGTCAGCTGATGGTGGTCAGATAGAGGAAAAGGAATATTGTCTTTTCCAATATCAATATATTTTCTGTGAGCATTTTTCAACTCTATTTTTAGAATCTAATAGCATGATACTAGACTTTATACTGAAAGTATTCACTTGTTTGTTTATGCTTCATGCAAACTTTGCATTTTCTCGACTTCATCACAATCCACTATGTCACACGCAAGTCTGTACAGATAGATCTGTTGCGGCTGACCCTTTAATTTCATTCTCCTCTATTTCTTCCTATATTTTTATTTATTTTTTGTAAGCCCTGTGGCTTTACATTATACTTAAAAATAGACCCTAACGAGAGTCCTAAAATTATTTTTCTGCCGAGGTTGATATATGGAGTATTAAATAGAAAATAGTTATATCAGTGTGATTCACGATTTCAAAATTTCACTTCCAGTAAGAGTTAATATTCCTGTAAGGTTTCGATAAAATAAGATTATATATTTGATCTAGGTTCCAGCATTTATGTTTATTCCTCCATCTATTCCCTAAAGGGTCGTTTCAGTTACATATATGTACGTAGGTATTCTTTATTATATATATATATATATTTTTTTTTTCCTGATCGATTGATTTTTTTATCACATCAGTCACATAGCACGATCAAATCATCCTGGTTAGGATGACAGGAACTTAACTCTTTGATCTAATACGATTTTCTAATCACTCTACCATGCATGTCTAATTTCAGGGAGCACTATATTATATGGGACTATACTACGAGTTTTAACTAGCCCAATATGGTATACTTTTAATTGGTGTCAACAACAGATTTTTTAATGTTGGTACTTATATTTACCTAATGTTTAAACGGACTTTATATTGCAATTTACGAGCAGCTGTCAATTAATATAGCTGCCAGCAATCACTATATTAAATGGAGCAGCAGCCTTAGAAATTCATCAGCCTCTGAAGAAGTGACTGAACTGTCACAAAACGCATTAGGCATTTTGGCAATTGCCATGCATCGATCCAGCTATCGAGCAACCGTGGAACGCAGATCGGGCGCACCAAGTGGAACACACGCGAGGGATGTCTCACCTCTCTCAGCACAGCAAGATCATCTCATTGGCCGGAGAGAGATCTTCCACAGCCTGCTGACCATCACCCGTTCTTGCTTACCCGATAAGACTCATTTGCTGGTACACTGCACTTCATTTTTGTGAGTGTATTTTATTCTTATTCTTAATAAATGTGAAGTTTTTACCAGAAAGCATCACCAGCTTTTTACCATCATTTCCAGATCATTTAGAGATCCTATTACCATATACCTGCAATGGTGGTGTTAAGACATTCCCGGCATAAATGAGTGAAACTGCCGTTTAGTAGATCTTCCCCCAGTTAGAGACACAGGCACCGTTGCTGTAGACCGCCAAACTCCGGAACGGAATATAAGGGAATACTCCAAACTCCCGAACAGAGAATCATACGAACTCCTCCTCTCCTGGAACAGGCAAGAGAATACTCCAAAGTAGCAATCCCCCCAAACACGAGACCAAGCTCCGTCTTGAGGGTAAAACAGGAATCTGCTTTAATGAGGGCTACTTGCCCAGTATTTATGCAGGTCTCCCACCTGGTGGACACTCCCCTAGGGGACCAGATGGAAGACTGGGACAAGTATGATACATTAGCCAATCACAGTGGCTCAAACATAAACCCTCCCCTTTGTACAAGCAACCCCTCCTCTCTATCCTGGAGATAATTGGGAAGAAATCCAATTATCTCCATGGATAGAGGCAAAACGCCATTTTAAATAATACAGTAAAAATACATAAAATTCCATAACTTCAAAACTACCGAATGTATTCCATTAAAATCAAAAACAAGTATACTAAAGTCCATAAAATTACCACGTGGTAATTTTATGGACTTTAGTATACTTGTTTTTGATTTTAATTGTTTTTTTAAATATGGAATAAAAGTCTTAAAAGATTGATCGAGATTGGGTATCCTGGAGTAATTTCTACTACACATCTAGAGATTGCCAGAGACAACTTTATCTCAACATATATTTCAACACAAGTGGTCCAGTACTAAGAATTTCTTCTCCGATTTAAGCCCTTAGTCTGAGTCAGCTTTTAAAGTGACTCAGAACCACGTGAGTGCAACCAATTATATACGGTTAATACACAAAGTGTATACAATATTACCCTATGTGCTTTTCTCTCTCCTTTTTTATGTTTCAGCCATTTACTTTGTGAAGTACTGGTAATATAATTTATTGCATGTACAGTGTGCTCTCACTATTTTACTATTTTTTAGGCATACGAATAACGACCACCCAGCATACGGTTTCAATTAGGAGGTGTCTGCGGTTAACCACAATGTTCGAATTGGGCCCAATAGGTTAACCAGCAGCACACTCCTCTTCTGGGTGGCCAGCCATTCGGGGGTTTGTTCGGTAGATTAACAAACGAACGGGGAAGTACGGACAGGCAATTACACAAATCCACCGGGAAAGCACTATAGTTCTAAGACAGAAGGATCTGTCACAGGTGGTATATGAGTAATTGTGATTTTCTGCTGCTATCCGATACTTTATATATCAATATTGGTTACATTGTATCTACAACTTGACACTTTATTGCTGCTGTCATTTTCACTGGGCAGTAGCACATTGTGTTGGATGTGATATTGATACCAATTTATTTTGCACCACAAGAACTTTGTTTTTCAAAGACCTTTTTGGATGTTATTTTTATTCATCTTTTAACATTATTTTTATCTGATTCTATTGGACCATTAAGGTGTCTGGACTATTTATTCATTTATTTCATAGCCTTTGAGTTAATATATTCCTATTCGAATTTCAAGGATTTACTCTCATTCAACATATTAACACAATTCCCTGTTTATTTTAAGATTCCCCATATATAAAGGATTTTTGATACAAGGCTGCCACCTAGTGAGCACACGTATACCACAACAACTGCTAATAATATTTTGTATTTTACCATTTTATGTGTTGATAAGTGGTTCCTATTGCGTATTCATACATTTATAATTTCAGAGCTGTTATTTTATGTTCTGTTTATATTATTTTTTACTAGTTTTTAACACCTGGTAAGAGATCTCCTAGTACGTGTAGGCTTTTCTACCTACTACCATTCACTACTGTTACATTGTTGGTTTAAAAAAATCACACTTATTTCTGCTAAATAGAACATTTGCAGCCAGTGGTGCATTTCTTGCAGTCAAATAAAAGCCTTAAATACTACTGTTACATTGTTGGTTAAAAAAAAAAATCACACATCTTTTGTGCTAAATAGAATATTTGGGGCCTGCGGTGCATTTCTTGCAGTCCGATAAAAATAAAAATACAAATAAAAATAATCACTGGAGAGAAAGAGGAAGTAACCCCCTAGCCACCCGCGATCCCTGGCCCTGAATGCCAGCATTTCAAAATTCCTGGCCTTTGAAATGCTGTCATTCCGTCTGGTGGAGAGGGACAGTTTTAAAAACCTGATGGCAGTGGCAGTCCCACAGTATGTGGTTCCCAGCCGCCACGACTTTTCCAGGCGAGCCATCCCTTCCCTGCCAATTGGCAGACAAAATCAGGTGTGCACTGCGCAATGCCATCTGTGGCAAGGTCCACAAAACCACTGATACGTGGACCAGTAAGCACGGACAGGGACGCTATAGCTCCCTAACTGCACACGGGGCAAATGTAGTGGTGGCTGGGCCTGAGGCGGATTGCAGTTTGGCTCATGTCCTTCCGCCACTGAGGATTCCTCCTACTCCAATACCTCCTCCTGTACCATCTCCTCATCTGGTAAGTGTAACACCTTCACCAGCAACTTCAGCACAGCCAGGGGGAAACGACAGCAGGCTGTTTTTAAAACTCATATTGTTACAAGTACTCTATATACCGTTACAACATAACTTTCTTTTGATTAAAACCCCCTATTATGTCAGCAGAATAAGACTTTCTATGGCAGAAACCTCCCGTTCTGTTCATGGAATCTGGGAGCAATTCGTATACTTGATGCACCCAGCAGACGAATGAATAGTGGAATGAACTATATTCCCCCTGAATTGTCAAAGTTATGTATTTTTATGCTGTTTTCTAGGACACAATAAAGCATGGTCTTTTGGGCACTTGGAGATAATTAGATTGTATAAACGTTGGCCTCATTATCTTCAAGCTGGGCGGGTACATTGTATTATGATTGGTTGAATCTTTGTACTGTACCTGTATCCCATCAGGTCCATGGGGCTATCCCTGGACCTGGGGACTTGCATAAATTGCCATGCTTGTGTGCCAGTAAAGCCAGTTTGTTTTGACCCTCAACTCGCAGCCTCGACTCGTGTTGTAGGGATCCGGGCTTTTCTACCTACTACCATTCACTACTTTACTATAGCTAGTGGGATATTCTACACTTACAGGTTTCTACCGATTGAAGCACCGTTCAACTCTCTGACTTCGGGAACCAGGACATTCAAGCGATCCAACCTCTTGCTAGACCGGAGGCAATCGTAACACATATGTTTGGGGAAAAAAACCAACACCGCGCAGGAGCTGTGGATGGACATGGAACAACAGACCGATGAGTGGTTGCTGCCACTGAGCCTCAAGCCCGGCCTGGTAGTGTGTGATAATGGGCGAAATCTCGTAGCAACTCTGGGCCTTGCCGGTTTGATGCACATCCCTTGTGCTGAATTTGGTGGTGCAGAAATTCCTGAAAAACTACCCAGATATATCAGAGCTGCTGCAGAAAGTGCGAGCCGTCTGTGTGCGCTTTCGGCGTTCTCACCCTGCTGCTGTTCGACTGTCTGCTCTGCAGCGTAACTTCGGCCTTCCCGCTCACCGCCCCATATGTGATGTGCCCACAAGGTGGAACCCCACCTTGCACATGCTGGAGAGACTGTGCGAGCAACAGCAGGCGAAAGTGGAGTTTCAGCTGCAGCATGCATGGGTTAGTCGCTCTGCACCAGACTTGTCCTCCAATAGATCCTTGTTAAAGGATTTAAAGGGTACTCATTCCAATTACAGAGCCTCGAAAAAGTCCTTCTTTGGATGTGGTAGCCGTTTCTCAGGCTCCCTCTCCGGAATCAAACCCTGATTCCCCGTTACCCGTGGTCACCATGGTAGGCGCAGAAATTACCATCAAAAGTTGATAGGGCAGACATCAGAATATGTTGTTCACTGTCACGGGGATGTGCAATCAGCCCGAGGTTATCTAAAGTCACCAAAGTGCCCGCGCAACGACTGCCGAGTTGCCTACATGCCCACATTCTAACTTGTCCTTGTAACGGGGATCCAGCAAGCTGGCTACCCAGTAATCAGCACAACGTGCTGTCCTTAATTCCCTTACTGGAGTGTGATCGGAAGATGCGCACGCTGGTAGACGCGCTGCTGAGGGCATTCCCAACTGACACCGGGGGCTAAGTGGAAGCACCAGGCGAAGGCAGAGGAGGAGGAAGAGGTTGCTAATGCTGCTGGGACACCGCCAGCACCTCAGAAGGCAGGGTTAGCATGGCCAAAATGTGGAAAAGCTTTGTCAGCATGCCACAACAACCAGCACCACCAGCTGATATGGAACGTCTTCGCAAGAGGCAGCATTTCAGCAACATGGTGGAACAGTACGTGTTCACACACCTACACGTACAGACTGATGTGTCTGCCCCATTCAACTTCTGGGTCTCCAAACTGGGCACATGACCTGAGCTTGCCCTTTATGCCTTGGAGGTGCTGGCCTGCCCTGCAGCCAGTGTATTGTCTGAACGTGTGTTTTAGCACGGCAGGGGGTGTTATCACAGACAAGCGCAGCCGCCTGGCCACAGCCAATGTGGACAAGCTCACGTTTATTAAAATGAACCAGGCATGGATCCCACCAGACTTGTCTGTACCTTGTGCAGAATAGACATTTATACCTGCCTCACCCAGCCATTGTTATACTCAAGTGCAATTATTCTTGGTTTTCTTTTTTTTATATGTCCCAATATTTTGGGGGCTACCCCAATTGTTTACTCTTTTGCAGCCCTCTAGCCCTTTCCAGGAGTTTTTTAGAGCCATTTTAGTGCCCAAAAGTTCTTGTCCCCATTGACTTCAATGGGGTTTGGGTTCGGGGGTCAAGTTCGAGTCCGAACTCTAACTATTTGCTGAAGTTCGGCCAAACCCGGCGAATCCGAACATGCAGGTGTCCGCTCATCTCTGCTCAGTAGCTAAGGGAGTATGAAGAGCATAGCAATCCCTGTAGTGATTATAGCTGTCCCCATCAAACACGAGTCAAGACTGCGAGTTGAGGGTAGAACTGATTTAATGAGCACACAGGACTTTCTTTTATACAGGTTTTCCCACAAGTTTACCACCCAATTGGACCTTGTGGAACACAGGACCCACAGGTACAACAGCCAATCAAAACAGAACAGTACAGTCAGACACTCCCAGTTAATGCACACAAACCCTCCCTTCTGCCTGTGATATAATTACTGAACACAATGGACTAAGCTAATTATCACAGGCAGAAAATATGCAGTTTTACACAATATTCATAACTTCCAAACTATTCATGCAATTTCCAGTTTTCAGTTATATTTTCTGAACCAGCATAATCAGTACACAAACATATTCAAAAATCATCCAAATTGGCTCAGTGGCTCGAAAGATAGTTGGAAGTCATATTTGACAGACCGCAAGCATAGCTTTTCTGCCCAAAAGAGTTTCATAGACTTAGGGTGTGCGGTCGGTTTATTTAAAGGACCACTATAGTGCCAGGAAAACATACTCTTTTTCCTGGCACTATAGTGCCCTGAGGGTGCCCCCATCCTCAGGGTCCCCCTCCCGCCCGGCTCTGGAAGGGGGAAAGGGGTAAAAACGTACCTTTTTCCAGCGCTGGGCGGGGTGCTCTCCTCCTCCGATCCTCCTTCTCTCCTCCCCGTCGGCTGGCTGCGCGCGCATTCAGTTGGTCACATAGGAAAGCATTATCAATGCTTTCCTAATGACGCTGGCGTGCTCTCACTGTGAAAATCACAGTGAGTAGCACGCAAGCGCCTCTAGCGGCTGTCAATGAGACAGCCACTAGAAGGAATGGGGGAAGGCTTAACCCATTCATAAACATAGCAGTTTCTCTGAAACTGCTATGTTTATAAAAATAAAATGGGTTAACCCTAGCTGGACCAGGCACCCAGACCACTTCATTAAGCTGAAGTGGTCTGGGTGCCTAGAGTGGTCCTTTAACACAGTAAAAGGACTAAGTTATTTTGCAAATATCCCATGTTAACATGGCGTTTGAATAGTCGAACGCACTTCGATTTCTGTTGAAGTTGTAGAGAAGGTAAGGTTCAGCGGTGTTCGTGCCATAATGTATCCGATTTTCAGTTCCATGAGCTCGACGGCAAAACACTGCTGACCGCGTTCGACTAAACAAGATGGCCGCTGCCACGTGTTTGACTATACGAACAGCGGCCACCCAGCGTTCAACAATTAACTTGCGGTTAAACACCACCCTTGGAGGTAAATTGGCTGCACACTCCACTTGTGTGTGGTCTGCCTGTTCAGTAATTTGTTCGGTAAGCCCCATTTACCGAACCAGATAGGAAAAAGGGCACGAACCAGTATTTTCATAATGTGGGGACACAGTTTAATCAATGGGGCATTGTTCCAAGACTCAATAATGTCCTTAAACTGAAAATTGACATTTGTTGTGTTTGCAGCATATTTACTGAAATCAAAAGCTATTTCAATCAAACTTATAACAACATTTTAACTTTTTTAACATTTTAACAGGTCACGTTACATTTTAACATAGGACCCCTTATTTGATAGCAGCTTCACAAGTCTTGCATCCATTGAACTTGTGAGTTTTTGGACAGTTTCTGCTTGCATTTGTTTGCAAGATGTCAGAATAGCCTCCCAGAGCTGCTGTTTGGATCTAAACTGCCTCCCACCCTCAGATCTTTTGCTTGAGGATGCTCCAAAGGTTCTCAATAGGATTGAGATCAGGGGAGGATGAAGGCCACACCATGACTTTCTCTCCTTTTATCCCTATAGCAGCCACTGATGCAGAGGTATTCTTTGCAGCATGAGATGGTGCATTGTCATGCATGAAGATGATTTTATCATGGAAAGCATAGTTCTTCCTTCTGTACCAAGGAAGAAAGTGGTCAGTCAGAAACTCCACATACTTTGCAGAGGTCATCTTTACACCTTCGGGGACCCTACAGGGGCCGACCAGCTCTCTTCCCATGATTCCGGCCCAAAACATGACTCCACAGCAGCTTTGTTGGAACTTTGTCATTCCAGGATATGGTGAGAAGCCTCATTCACTGAGCCCAGGGTAACCCTGGATACTCCATCCATCTGGACCATCCAGGGTTGCATGGCACTCATCAGTGAACAGGACTGTTTGAAAATTAGTCTTCATGTATTTTTCTGCCCAATGCAACCATTTCTGCTTGTGAGCATTGGTTAGTGGTGGCCAAATAGAAGGTTTATGCACAGTTGCAAAACTCTGGAGGACAGCTTCAAATATCTGTTTGCTACTATGTAATTGTATTTTAGCAGCTACTCTCTTGATCTGATGCATGGATCTGGCAGAAATCTTCCTCAATCTGCATGAATCCGTCTGTGCTCTGAATCAGCCACAAAGCTCTTAATAGTGCGATGATCAAGCTTACGTTTTTGTGAAATATCTAATGTTTTCATACCTCTCCCAAGGCATTGAACTATTTCACTCTTTTCGGCAGCAGAGAGATCCTTTTTCTTCCCCATATTGCATGAAAATGGTGCTCTGCTTAATAATGTGGAACACCCTCCTTTAGTAGATTTTCCTTAAATTGGGCTCACCTGACAATCTGATTATCACCGGTATCCGAGATTGTTTTCAGTGATCAAAAGAGCCCTGAGACACAATGCCATCCATGAGTTAAACTGAAAAACAAAATATTTAATCTTTGTGACACTTAAATAGAATTTGCATAATCATTTGGAACAGGGTGTAAGGGATAACCAAAATTGTAAATTAAAGGGTATTAAAACCTAGCAGTCAATTGTTTTGGCTGTAAAAATATGTTACATTTTGTTGAAATGGCTGGTTATATGATGGAGGATCCTTTTGATTTGAATTTAAAGGGATTATTTTTCTCAGATGGAATATCTCTTATTGGAGAATAGCCCTCCAGAAAAGATTCACAGCTTTATTCTGTTATAATACATTCAGTGGTATCTGATTAAATTACACTTTGTTTAATGTTGTTATAACTTGCCTCAAAGTTGCATGGTTTCCCTTTTTATTTTTCTCCTTTCTTCATTCCCTTTTTCCTCCCCATCTTATTCCTTTTTCTTATGTTATAGACAATTTTTATTTTACTTTGATTCATAAGGCATACAGCAAGTTGGTTATAACTGAATAAAGGTATTAATATACTTAGTGTAGCAGAGCTCCCTGTACCCCGGCTGAATACCTCTGCCAAGAACCTCTTCCTAGCTGGAACATGGGAAAACCTCAACACTTCTTCCCCAGTCGCCGTGGTTTGACTGGAGCCTCTCCGTCCAGGGACTGGGCGACACTGTGGCGGAACCAGCCTCGCCACTGGGCATTGGAGAAGACTGATTGCCAGCCTCCTGCCATGTGACTATGGCCCCTGGGATGTATTGCCTGCTCTCCTGTACTGCTGAGAATTGCTACCAACTAGGTGGATTTGGCTATGGAGCTTGTGTAGTGCCCTCTGTTGCTAGCAACAGTAATATGCACTGCCTGAATAGCAAGACTGGTAATTTGCATATTTGGGTAGATTTGCATATCGCTAATTCTGCATGCAGGAGAAACATTTTGTGTTAATTATGGTCTTCCCCACCCATTTATAAATATGTAATTATGTTATAATAAGTCACTGTATGTTGCCTGCTATGATTTGACTGTTTGTAATTTTATTGAGTTTTCACAGCAATGTTAATGTAATGACCATATGGGCTAGTCCCAAGTAAAATAAAGTTTTAGACAGTTTTACTTCACCCTCAATTTGGAGTCCTGACTCTTATTGGGGGAATCTGCTACAAGGGATTGCTATGCTCTGCATATTCCCTTGCTATAATCACTCCTAAGCTTTTGTTCTCCTTAGTCTCAGGCACCTTCCCTCCAAAAAGCACTCTCTTGGTGGATTTCAAAGTGGTTCAAAACCGCGAATCAAGTTTTCTGGGAAATGCACGGTCACCTCATGTCAAATACAGTTCCATAACATTCGCAG